CGGACGGCTCTCCTCTCTTTTATATATTTATCTCTGAATTTTTTTCCACATTTTTTCCTCACTGCTTCAACTATCCAGAGAAAAACAGTAAAAAAAAATAAATAAATAAAAAAGTTAAGAATGATTGAGAATTGTCCTATACATGAATACATAAGATTTATACATATATAGTCCTTTTCACAATACACATTGCTTCAAAGCAGCTTTACAGAATGTCATGAGGTTAATGTTTACAATATCTTAATTTATATGGTTTAGTTGCATGATACCCAATATTGTGCTTTTTTCAATACAGGTTTCTGGCGACTGTAGACTCGTTTGTGAGCATAGCTTTCAGCCCCAGAGTGGGAACTTCAACCGTAGCATCAATAGTGGACGAGGCCACCAAGTTAATCTGGGATGTGTTGGTGAATGAATATAAGCCAGTACCACCTGCACTGCATGGCTAGGATCATGTCTGTTAAGTTTCAGTCATGGTTATACATTCTGATTTTTGTATACATTTAATATTTCTGTGCTATCTGCCTAGGGTTCTCAGTGCTCAGAGAGAATTCGCAGAGCGTTACGGAAGCAACTACGTCACACCGATGAGAAATATGAAATGGGTAATAAAGTGTACTACAAGAGAGTGGATTGTCCAGAGTGTAAAGGACCAGGAACAGGATGGAGCAGTGGTATTTGTGAGACATGGAGGGACTTGCATAAGGGTACATCGTCTCAGACTGAGCAAAGTGAATACAGAAAGCGAGGATCAACATGCCACAAAGACTGACGTAGAAAATGACACACACAATGAACAAGGACAGGAGTTTGCTGAAAGTAACAGACAGTTGACAGAAGAAACAGAGGCTCAGGTGCAACAAGAGGTGAGGCAAATGGAGGGACACAAGGGGGCAGAATGAAGCAGAACAGCACACAAGTGACAATACAGAGACACCTAGTGGTACTAACCTGGAAACTGCTGTCAGCTTACAAAAAGGACACATTGTAAAATACAGAGATAAAGAAAAAGGTGTTTTGTGCACAGCTAAGATCTTAGGGCGTGCAGGTAAAGCTACAGGTAAATATAAAAACTGGTTTAACCTGAGAGGGACTTGCATTAGGGTCCATCGTCTCGGACTGAGAAAAGTGAATACAGAAAGCGAGGATCAACATGCCACAAAGACTGACGTAGAAAATGACACAGACAATGAACAAGGACAGGAGTTTACTGAAAGTAACAGACAGTTGACAGAAGAAACAGAGACTGAGGTGCAACAAGAGGTGAGGCAAATGGAGGACACAAGGGGGCAGAATGAAGCAGAACAGCACACAAGTGACAATACAGAGACACCTAGTGGTACTAACCTGGAAACTGTTGTCAGTTTACAAAAAGGACAAATTGTAAAATACAGAGATAAAGAAAAAGGTGTTTTGTGCACAGTTAAAATCTTAGGGCGTGCAGGTAAAGCTACAGGTAAATATAAAAACTGGTTTAACCTGTTGCTCATTGAGCCCACTAATGTAGCAGGCAGTACGGAGTCTGCTGACATGTTGAATGTTGAGAATCTTCAGATTGAATCCACTGTTACTAATGCTGACTCCATCGATGTATGCGAGGATGTGTATGTAACAAAAGATGTAAAATTTGACTTCGCAAAACAGGAAGAGATAAAGAGTTGGAGAGATAACCATGTCTTTGAAGAAGTGAAGGATGAGGGACAAAAGTGCATTTCAACTAGGTGGGTTTGTACCTACAAAGAGACATTGAAGGGGTTTGTACCCAAAGCTCGTCTTGTTGCTAGAGGTTTCGAAGAACTAGAGGTGTCAGAACTCAAAAAGGACTCACCAACATGTGCTTCAGAGTCTCTTCGGCTTCTTGTGGCAGTGATTTGTCAAAGACAGTGGACACTTAACTCCATGGATATAAAATCTGCATTTCTACAGGGAATGGAGCTGACCCATGACCTTTATATCAAACCTCCTCCTGAGGCCAACAATGAAGGAAAACTATGGAAGCTTAAAAAGTGTGTGTATGGTTTGGCCGATGCTTCACTCTACTGGTATAATAGAGTGAAGGAGATTGTCATGAGGTCAGGAGGAACAATGTCCCAAGTAGATCCTGCTGTGTTCTGTTGGCTAGATCAGGACTGCACTGTGACTGGGGTACTTGCTTGCCATGTGGATGACTTCATATGGGGAGGCACACAAAGTTTCCCCACAACAGTAATACCTCATCTCAGATCCATGTTTCAAGTTGGGCGTGAGGAGTGTGACAGCTTCTGTTACGTGGGAATACACTTTGAGACTGTGGACAATAAAATGCAGGTACATCAGGAAAACTACATTAAGCATATGCAGCCCATACATTTGGATCCTTCTCGAGCTGTGGAACAAGACTCTCCTCTTTGTGAGGAGGAAAAAGATCGACTAAGGTCCAAGGTAGGCCAAATTCTCTGGGCTGCAAGGCAGAGCAGTCCTGATGTAATGTTTGATGCCAGCAGCTTAGCATCAAACATAAAAAATGCAACTGTGCAGACTATTCATGAAGCAAACAGAATAGTGTGTAAACTGAAGTCCAAAAAGGTAGTTCTGTACTTCCAATACCTGGGCAAAGACAGTGCGCTCAAGATGGTTGTATACAGTGATGCCTCATTTGGAAATCTTTCTGATGGGGGAACTCAAGGTGGGCATCTAATTGTTCTCATGGGAGAAAATGGGAAGTTCTCTCCCCTTTCCTGGCAATCAAAAAGAGTCAAGAGGATTGTGCGAAGCACTCTTGCTGGTGAAACATTGGCAATGTCAGATGGAATTGACAATGCAATATTTCTGACCACACTGTTCTCTGAGCTGACTACTGGTGACACTGAACATGCTATACCAATAATCTGTGTCACTGACAATCATTCACTTGTTGATGCACTGAAGTCCAGTTGCTGAAAAAAGACTGCGTCTGGAAATAAGCAGCATCAAAGAACTTATTCAAATACAAAGGGTTGAACGAGTGCTGTGGTATAATACAAAAGAACAACTTGCAGACTGCCTTACAAAAAAGGGGGCATCACCACTGCAATTACTTAAGGCACTTAGTGAAGGACAATGGAAGCTCTATTCAAAAAAAATAAAAAAAGGCACGAGTCATGTAAAAAGGAGCTGTTAATAAT